CCCCTTTCTGACTTCTATCATTCCATTTTGCCTACAATGAAAGTGACAAAAATAGGATCAAACTCTATCCACTCTTTTGTGTCTAACATCCTTTGCTCAAGTTCTAGCTGTAAGATTCATCCATGTTGCTGCACATAGTGTTTTTACTGCTGTCCCGTTTTATAAATTTGCCACAATGTATCCAATGTATTGCTGTTGGCATTTAGGTTGTTCCTATTTGGGGATAATACAAATAAAGCTGCCATGAACATACTCGGACATGTGTTTGGTGGGAATACTTTCTGCACATTAACAGTTTGGGTTTGTTTCTGTTGTTATAAGGTGCTTTCGAGTTAGTTCTGACTTAACGTTGAGTCCATTGTTTTAGCCACTGTGTTCATCTATCTGGTTGAGGAGCTTCCTTTTTTTTTTTTTTTTTTGGCTGACCTTGCCAATCCTAATGTCCTTCTCCCAGGGTAACATGTCCACTGCACATGAGACAAGTCTTGCTGTTACTGTTTCTAAGGAGTATTCTGGTTGTACTTCTTCCAAGATAGATGTTGGGGCTTTTTGTTTGTTTTTAAGGGTAAATGATACCTTAAGGAACCCTGGTAGCACAAAGGTTAAAGCACTCAACTGCTAACTGAAAGGTCAGTGATTTGATCAGCAGTAGAAAAGATGTGCTGGTCTACTTCTGGAACTCTGACAGCCTTGGAAACCCTGTGCGGTAGTTCTACTCTGCCCTACATAGTCACCATGAGTTGGAGTTGACAGCACACAACATCCTGCAGTTGGGAAGGATGTAGGGTGAATGTGAGGCGGATGCCCTCTGTAGAGGGAAATCTTGGTATAAGAATTTCTGTATCCTCTGACCAGTAATTATAGTTCAAGGACATTTCTGATCGAATGCTTATATGTATTACGTCTTCTTCTAAGTGTTTTATATGTATTAACTCATTTGATTTACTCTGGGGAAATAGAGGAAGACGTTAAATCAAATAAGGATGCCAATAAGCACTGAACGGCTAACTGCAAGGTTGGTGGTTCAAACCCAAGAGATACTCCTTGGAAACCCTATACAGAGTTGCTATGAGTCGGACTCAATGGCACTTAACAACAATAAACAAGCTAGATAACTAACAATGGGGGAATGATTTAAAAATGTATTGTATTCCAGTAAAAGGAAATACTCTGAAGCCACTAAAAATGTTTTCAAAGAACATTAATGCTACAGGGGAAAGGAATTCCACTCTGTCCTATACACAGGGCATCTCTAGGGGTAGGGACTGACTCTACCACAAAGGATTTTGTTGTTGTTATACATTAATGAAAAAAAATGTAACAGCAAAATGCATAAAATGAACTGCAGTGTTGTTTTTAAAACAGATACACACATATACACACACATACACACACATGGACACATACACACACATACACACATACACACACAGCCGCCACTGTTACAGTACCGGTTATCTCTGGAAGACAGCCAAACTTCCATAGACTTTATCCTTTTCTGTGCTTTCCAGCTTTTCTATAACATACTGTTTTTGTCAATCAAAAGGAAGATGCTATTGAAAAGATTCATAAAGTTTTTACATTCTGTCATTGTTGTGAAGTGCTGTTGAGTCAGTTCTGACTCATACTGACCCTTATAGAGTTTCCGAGGAGCGACTGGTAGATTTGAACCACCAGCCTTGGGATTAGTCATCCATGCTTATCCTACAGTGCCACACCAGTGGGGAGATGACACATTATGACCCACTTTAATTAGGACAATGAGTTTTGTATGGATGATACACAGGACACTAGAAAGACATCTAGCTTGGAGACCAGCATGCTCAAGAAAGAGCAAAAACTTAAGCCTCGGCTAGAGGAGCCTTCCCAGGAAAATCCAGTAGTTCCTCAACACTCTGCTCTACAAGATCCATTACACATGGCAACCTGGCAAGTTGTCATTGCCTTCTCGATGGGATTCCTGAATACACCAAGGACGCAGCCAGAGTCCAACAGCATCAACCCAGAGGAAGTTGATTCCACCGACCCAGCGAAAAACATCCAAAAAGGGCCTTCCTCCTCTCTGAGGACACGCCAGGACCCAAACTTTCAGATTCCAGATGTCAGAAACTCCAGGCCGAGGAAACCCAAATTTAGACCAAGATTTACGGATTCCTCAAGTTTGACCAATCTTCTCCTTAACCAGTATTGAGAAATTATCCAGGTAATAGCAATTCTCTGTATCCCTGTTCTCATCCTGCCTTCCCTCTGGCAGATGGGCCACCTTTGAATCTCCCAGGAAAGCTGAGCTCAGGGATTAAAGACAGACCTTAGCCTGAGGGGCCAACTCTCAGGAGCACAATGGTGTTTCTTTAATTATTACGACAGCAGACGGAACATTTTTGTTGTGTTCAAGAAACCAATCACTCCCTTCAAGGTATAATAAATATCACAGTAAAGATTACTCACAGGAGTGCGGAGGCACCATGCGCTAAGCATTGGATTGTGAACCACAAAGTCTGAGGTTGAAGCCCACCAGCCACTCCGTAAGAGAAAGAAGAGGCTTTCTGCTGCCTCAAAGATTTAAAGCCTCAGAAACCTCATACAGGAAGGACTGCTATGAATCGAAACAACAACTGAGCATAGGAAAACCAGATTGTTGTTGTTCAATGCCATGAGTTGATTCTGACTCACAGAGACCACGAAGGACAGAGTACAATTGGCCCATAGGGCTTCCTGGACTGCAACTTTTACAGAAGATCGCCACCTCTTTCTGCTGTGAAGCAGCTGAGTAGCTCAGACCACCAAGCTTTGGGTTCGCACCAAGCCTCCCAGTAAAAGATATTGATCTCAAATGACTAGCATTTCATTAGGAATTAACTTATTAATGTCTTGTTTGTTGTTATTAAGTGCTGTCGAGTCATTTCCAACTCATAGCGACCCTGCACAGGGTTTCCGAAAAGCAGGGCTGGTGAGTTTGAACTGCCAACCTTGAGGTTCAAACCAACCTTGTGGTCCAGGGCTTACCTTACAGAGTGACACCAGACACTGCTTTTGCATAACAGGGTGGTATCGCTAAACTTCCTAACTTTTCCTATAGCAACCACATTCCGTTCCTGAAGATTGCAGATCAAAAACCCCTCTGCTCAAACAAACCTACTTCAGGCTCATTTTCCCAGACTGTTGCTGACACGGACAGGAATTCACACAAGTTTAAATAACAAAGCAGAGTAACTGGTAGCCTCGCTCTCCCTCCTCTCCATAAATCAAAACACTCCAAATCCACGCCTGTCCATTGAGTCCCACTCATGACAGTCCAATGGGGCAAAACAGAACTGCCGCACAGGGTTCCCCAGTTACCATCTTTACAGAAGCAAACCGCCTCCTCCTCCTCTTTCTCCCTCCCAGCAGTTGATGGGAGCCCCAACCATTTAGTTAGAAGCCCAGCACTTACCCACTGCGCCACTAGGGCACCTCACCGGATCTACATATACCCTCTCTACTCCCTCTCCAGCTTCTGTGCACAAATTCATATTTGAAAGTATTGCAAAATAATCCCTCAAATAGTTGAAGCTCTTTTCCCCCACTACAGTGCTAGTTACATAGATTCAGATAAACAAAATCTGTAGGATTAACGCAGGACTGCGAACCACAAGGTGGGTGATTTGAGCCCAACAGCCTCTCCGCAGGAGGAAAATGAGACGTTCTGCACCGGAAAGGATGTACAGCGTAGGAAACAATCTAAAGTTTAGTAACCTGTCAAATCTCTGCACTGCACAACGGGGAAATCTTCCTAGGCAGTTTAACATGTCTCCACTTCATTGTTGTTGTTGTTGTTGTTAAGTGCCGTCGAGTCGGTTCCGACCCATAGCGACCCTGTACAGGGTTTCCGAGGGTGTAAATCTTTACGGGAGTAGAAAGCCTGATCTTTCTCCCGCGGAACGGCTGGTAGTTTCAAACCGCTGACCTTAAGGTTCGCAGCCCGATTCGTAACCACTACGCTACCAGAGCACTTCATTAAAAATAATAATAATAAGCATCTCCACAATTACCAGGGATTCGGTTTATTCGGTATGTAAATTACAGTTTCTGATAACCTCTATTCAGGTGACTACGCGTGTTGTGGGGACAGAGGATGGACAAACAGAATTGGTATGGTCTCTGCAAAACTAATTTTTGTATAGAATACAAATACAGAAAATGTCCTTTGGAGGGAATCCACCACAGAGCTAAACAGTGAAAAGGCTGTCCTTTTTTGAAAGGCTCCGCGTATTCTTTTTTGTCTTGCGAAATGTCCTAACTGGGAAGGGACGAAGCGAGCCCAAACACGGAGCTGTCCCTGGAACTGAGGTCCCTGGAACGAGCGCGTCTCCCTCCCCGGACCAGTAGAGGGCGCCCGAGACGTCCGGCCTGGTCTTGTGTGTTTCTGTACAATTGGGGGGTGGGGGGGGCTGTGTTTAAATGCCCTGCTGTCAATCAAAGGACACTTCCTACAGTCCCAGTCCCCAGGTCTGCTCCTGGCCCCGAGCGAACTCTGGCAGAGCTACACCCCCAGACCGGGACTCGGAAAGCCTGCTTCTCCCCAAAGGTGACCACGGGCCTGGCCACCACCCCCAAATAAGGACTTGGGGCTCCGGGCCACAACTCGTTTCTTTGTTTAAATGCCTGCGAAGCCCTCCCAGGCCGGCGTCGGGGCCGCAACGCCACCCTGTGGGGGGGGCCCCACTCGGTGACAAAACACGCGCGGCGGCCGCCCCCGACCTGCCCACGTCAGCGCTGCCCGGCGCCCCTGCCCGCGCCCCGGGACGCCCGGGTCCCCAACTTCCGTCAACACGTCCAAGTGCCGGCGCCTCATCTGTTGCTCTGTTTACTTCCGCGGCGGCGCGGGCGGGGGCTCGGCGACCCCCGTCCCGAGCCTCCGGCGACAACTTTTCCCAGGGCGCCGCGGCCCCTTTGTTCCCGTGTCGCGGCCGCTCGGGCCGGGCCGCGCTGGGCCGCGCCGGGGGCGGCGGCGGCGTTACCTGCCGTGGAACCAGTCCTTGCAGACGTCGCACTCGATCATGAAGCGGCTCACGTCGTACGGCTGCCGGCACACGCAGTACACCGGC